CAATAAACACCTCTTTCTTTTGATAACACCCATAATTTTGATACCCATCTTTCATTATTGAATATACAAAAAAATTATTGTCATTAGTCCAATTCATATCACTACTTATAATTTTAATTGGAACAGTATGAAATGATCCAAAAATATCATTATTTTTTGTTATAACCATTCCTAATATATTCTTTCTTCCATAAACAGTTGATTGAAATGTACGTTGGTTAAATCCCATTGTATCACTATCATAAAGCATTTCAAATGTTTCACAATTTGTCCATGACTTTATTGAAAATAATGGTGTTTTATTGGAATTCATTTTAACAATTTCTTTCATTTGTTTCTTTTTGTTCTCTTCTATCATTTCAATCTCTCGTTTTTCTTCTTTCACTGCATCAATTTCATTATTAACATTCCCTAATTCTTCTTTTAACTCTTTTTCTCTTCTATTTAATATTTCAATCCGTTCTTTCATCCTCACTATTTGTTTGTTAATACTCTTAATCTTTATCATTATTTTTTCTTCTTCTATCTCTTTAGACTCTTCCCATGTTCCTTCACTTTCTAATATCTTATTTTCTTCATCCATTTTTTCTGCAGTGTATTAAGTTCTCTCCTTTTTAAGTCTTATTTATTCTCGCTCACTTTTCTTTTCTTTTCACTTTTCTTTTCACTTTCTCATTTATCATTACTTTTATGTAACTCATTAAATCACTTTCAAATAATATCAACATGAACGATCAAACTATTACCTAACATTTCATAATGCAGTTTTATAAAACACATGTTGTTTTTATCCACAAAAACTAACAGAAATTAATTTTCTCTTTATAACCATGATGACTTTATCAAATATAATAATTCTCATCCTTAACATTGTACTTTTACTAACCCATAATAAAATTAATTTCCAAAGTAGTAATGTCAAAACTCTTTTTTTGTTAGTTACCGATTTTCTGAACATCAAACTCTTAAGATACAAATAACTTTTATTTTTAACCTATTAACTATTAACTTTGATCTTTTTATAATAAGAATAAAACTAAACAATTTTTGAGATACGAAATGAAGTGTTTGAGCCATAAAGAATAAACCTTATGACTTAGTATTAAGTCTTTTATTATTTCTCTTAATTTGTTTGTAAAAGTGTTAAAGTAAATTATTTAATCTCTTACCCCAAATAAATAATAGTCAAAAGCTTAAAATGAGTAAAAGTACAATGAAGTATTTTAAAATAAAACATTTTAGGAGTAAGTTAAATAAAAAGTGTCACAAACAAATCAATCAACTAAAGTCACTACTTTCCACGAGCTAATAACCTTTCAGAAGCATCTCCATACCTTTCTCCTTTTTTATTTTTAAAGGCATATTCAACACTAATTTGTTTACCACCCATCATTTGCCCATTCATATTTGCAATGGCTTTATCAGACGCATCAAAATTATCATAACTTATAAATGCAAAGTTTTTTCCTGTTTTTTCATTTTTTTCAATTTTCACTGAAGAAATAATATTACCAAAGTTTCTAAATGCATCACTCAATGCAATTTCACTTACACTATCATCAATACCACTGACAAATAAATTTGCCCCAATGTCTACAGATTTCTTTAATTGAATATTTCTACTAAATTTTACTTGTTTGCCATATAACTTAATATTATCTCCAAATACTTTTACAGCATAATCTGCGTCGTAGTCATGTTGAAATTCAACATAAGCAACTCCTTTATGTTGATTTGAGATTCGATCTCTTGGAATAGAGATATTAACAACAGGCCCTGCTTGAATCATTAACTCATATAATAATTGTTCATCAACTTTTTCGTCAAGGTCACTACAATACACTATAGCTTCAAAATTTTTGATATTAGGCATTCCTCCATAAGAACCCATTTTTTTTATTTCTTTTAAGATTATTCCCACCTTTTCAATAAAAAACTATAAGTAATTAAATTCTAAATTATTTAGTTACAATAATTGTTTTTTATTTCTTTTCAAATTGAAATTTACTGAATTTACTTAATGATTTACTACAAGTTTTATCATCACCAATATCATCCAGTAAGTCAATCTCATTTTGTAAATCTTTGTTTTGAACTAACTCTTCTTTCCCTAACTTCCTTTTTTCTATTCTATCTTCTTCTTCTTCTCTTAACTTTTTTCTTTCATCATAGCTTTTAATAACCTCCATCATCCCTTTAACAAATTCACCCATTTCTTCTTCTCCAATATCTACTTCTTTTGTACAATGATCAAGTTCTCTTGATTTCCCATCTAATACTTTACCGACAACATCCAATTTCTTTTCAATAGTATTCCATATTTGTTCATCATAACTCTTATTAGCAATTAAATATTCTATCTTAACTGAGTCAGCCTGTTGTCCAATTCTATGTATTCTATCTTCAGCTTGTAACATTTCACCAGGAACAAATGTCATCTCTGCGAATATACACAACGCAGCTTTTTGAAATTCTAATCCACAATTTGCTGCTAATATACTTAATACAGCAACACGACAATTATCATCATCTCTAAAAATATCAACAAGTTCTTTCTTGTTTTCTGACTTTGTCTCACCATCAATTCGAATAAACTGTACTTTTTTTCTTTGTAAGTTATATACGATTCCATCAAGAACATCTCTATGATGTGCAAATACTACAACTTTTTTTATTCCAGAATCTAATACATCATCAAGATATGCTTGTATCAGTGGTATTTTTGCTAGTCCTGTTGATCTATGTAATTCAAATACTTGTTGTCTTTTTTGTTTTACTCCTCGAGCATTGTCTAAATCTTTTTTCATCTTTTCAAGGCATTCTCTATACTCATTTTTATCTAATTCTCCAAGATATACTTTTTCTCTTATTTTTGGTGGAAGTTCCTTTAAAACATCATGTTTGAGTCTTCTAATCATAACTGTAGTGAGCAAGTATTTCAATTCTTTCTCATTCTTCATAGAAAGATAATTTTTATACCTAGTTCCTGTTTCTTCACAATACCGTTTACCAAATGACTCTTTTGTTCCAATGTCTTTTATCAGTACACTTAAAATATTATATAATTCCATCGGCCTAGATAATGCTGGTGTTCCTGATAAGAAGATAACTTGTTTTGCTTTCTTACAAACATCTAACGTTTCTTTACTTCGTTTGCTTGAGTCTGTTTTAATAAAATGACATTCATCACAAATTACCATTGGAAATGCGTGAGAAAACATATTCCCTTGTGTATTTGCCATAGAGTTGTATGAAATAACTACAAACCTAGTATTCGGCACTTCTATGTCTTTTGGTTTATATATGGCAATGTCATTTGGATCAACATCAAGCCATCGTTGGATTTGATCACACCACTGATACACAAGACTGTTAGGAGTAATAACTAATATGTGCTCATTTTCTGGATATGCTGACACAAGTGCTAATGCTTGCAAGGTTTTTCCTAGTCCCATTTCATCTCCAATCAAAAGTCTTCCTTTCTTTCTTAACCCAAACTGTACTCCAATTCTCTGATATTCAAACATTGTATTTCGTAATTTACTTGGAATACTTTCATATCTATCAAGATCTCCTTGTTCTTCTTTTCCATCTAAAACAAGAAGATCTCTTACACATTTTGTAATTGGTTCACATGTTAATAATGGTCTTTTACGACAAATATCCAATGCACTTTGATAATCCTTAAATGAAATTTTCATTTCTTTCTTTTCTTTTCCAAGAAGCTCAAAATTAATATGACTTTCTTTAAATTGTTCTTTAACATCCATAAATCTATTAGAAGAGAAATTTAAATGAACTTCATTATCTCCTTCTCCAGTAAATACAACATTTGTCATTCCAACTCTCCCTCCTCGTTCGTGTAAATTTGATTTAGCTGGTAACGTTGAACTTGAACTTTTTTGTTGAATTACAACAGACGAACTTGCTGAAGCAGAGGGAATTAATGTTGGAGTTGTTTGATGAGACAACGAAAAATTTTCTTCTTCTATACACTTCGTTTTGCATTCAACTTGTTGTTGTGGTTGACTAATTTTTTGAGAAGACCCAGTTGGCTTAATAACAATTGTTTTTTGTGAAGAAAATTGAGTTGTGTGGTTCAATCCTTTATTTGGTGTTGTTTTTATTGGTGTGATAACTGGAGATGGTTTAGATGGTATAACAACTGTTGTATGGGAGAGTTGTTTTTGTAAAGTTTGAGTATTGTGACGTTGGTTTAACTGAACTTGAGAAGCCTTTGGAATAGAAATGATCTTATGACTTGAAGCTGTGTGTGTCAAAATAGGGTTCTTCTCTGTAGACTTTCGTTGACTAATAGTTATCGGAGTAGGAATTTTAGTTTGTTGTTTTTCATTATCAAATAGTGCTAAAGTAGCATCTATATTGAAATCATCACTTTTTGTTGGGGTTTTAAAAGTAGAGTTTGTTTGAGAAGATATGGTTTTATTTTCTACTGAAGAACGATGAATTGTTTGAGTTGAACCTCTTTGTGATGGAGGTGGTATTCTTATTATCCCACGTTGACTAGGGATATTGAGGAGTTGCTTCTTGTCTGTCATAACTTCAAATAAGGTTTTTAGTATTTTGTTTTTCTTCTTTTTCTCATTTCTATTTTTAATAGAATTTCTCAATTTTCATCATCCAACCTTTTTAAATGCAAGTGAAAAAAGGATGTTTGAATGACAGAACAAATCAATAATAAAGAGAATATCATTGGAATTGTTAATGAAATAATACAAAATACATGATCCAATTAAATCAGTATAATAAGAAGTTTTATATCAATAACAAAGAAAAATAATGACTTTAATATATTTTATTGTTATATACTTTATTTACTTTTTCATACAACAACAATGCGTCAAACTACATTCATAATTTAACAGTACAAAATAATATAAAGTTAATTAAATAGCTAAAAAACGATTTATTTTTTAATTTTGTTTTTTTTTTACATACTTAATATATTAACAGTGAAGAAAATGAATTACTATAATAAATAGAAATATTATTTTATATAGAGTCTATACTATTTTAATTTAATGACAGCCTAAAAAAGGCTTTATTGGATAGAATTACTTACTTATTCAACCAATGAACTTATTATGTGGAGTTAAATAAAAAATTTAAGAATGGGGTTTTGACTTTATTTATTCATATAAACTGTTCAAATAAAAATCTAACTAAGTATAACAATACATATACATATTTTTTTTTATTTTAAATTCATAGAATATAACACAATTTGAATTAATGTTAATAAAAGTCAGTATGTTATTCATTTTATATATAAATATTCTTATCCTTGTAATTAAATAATAACTTTGTTATTTATATTGACATATTTGAAAATTCTAATTCTTAAATTAATTCTTATTAAATATTCTTATTAACTAGAATGATAATAATACTTAATAATTACATAATAAATGAAAGAAACACAATGAATTTCAATTTATTGGATTAAAATATTCAGTCATAATATTCATTAGAATTAATCGATAAAACTATATGAATATAAAAGTCTTATCTTAAACTTTATTTTTATTTCTTCTTATTTTAATTTTATAGTTTTTAACTGAAATTATAATATTTTCCTTTTCTTGTAATCCAAAAAAACTATTTTAATTAATACTATTATAATTATTTTATAAATTAGACTCAAAATGGTTAATTTATTTGAATTAACTAACAAATAATTTAATTCAAAAATCTATTTCTAGTTCTTTCTATTTTTAAAGATTTTATAAAATAATTTAAAAATAACGAATAATTCTTTAACAATTATAGTTAATTCATCTTCATTGATTAAGTAGTAAAAACAACTTCATTTTTATTATAATGATAAAACAAAAAAATGTAAGAGATTAAGAAAAACAAATAAAAACTTCTTTTTATAATATAAATAAGAAAGTATTTAACAAAAAAAACAATAAATCATTGTTTTATATAACAAAAAAATAACAAATAAATACTTTTAATAAAGAATCCAAAATTAAAGCTTCCAATACTATTGTATTGGTGCGTTCCTTTGTCAGTATTGCTTAATAGATCTTAATTGGTGCACCCATAGAACTCTTAATGTAAAGACATTTAATGTTTTGCCATCCTTTCTTAAGAAGTGAAACTAAGAATGAAATTGATCTTTCAATGTTAGCAACTAATTGGTCTTCAGTTAATTTAACATTTCCAACAGCAACACCCATGCACAATACTTTCTTTAATTGGAATTTAACTTGGCATTGAAGTTCGTTAATTTTAACTTTAAGGTCTTCATTCTTTCCAAGAAGGGTTGGGAATTTACCAGCCTTGTTAAGTCCTGGACCAAGGATCTTTTGTAATTGTCTCAAAACAGAGTCTGATGCAAGGAATGCATTGTATTTTCTGGCTAATTTCTTAACTAACTTTTTGTCTTTATTTAAAGCTTTAAGGGCATCAACATCCATGAATGGAATATTTTCTTTTTGAGCAGCTTCACATGCTTGGGCATCTCCAAGAACACAAACCTTATAGTTAGCTTTAGTGATATTTGGTAATTTGACTGAACCAGCAAAACGTTTATCTTTATCTGGATCATAGTTCTTAAGTGCGATTTGAAGTTCTACAGTTTCAACGAACTTTCTTTCTTTCTTTTCTTTAAGAATAGTAGCAACACCTTGACGTAAAACAGCGCTTGAGACTTTGGACATCTTGATTATTTAAGATTCAACAGTTTCTCTTATTAAACCTAATTTTCATTATAGTTTTATTTTATTATAATTTTATTATAATTAATGAAACTATATAAATATAAAATATTTTATTATAAATAATTAATTTATGCAAACTGATAAATTAAATAATTAGAATTGGAACAAAGTATTTGCGTTTGATGAAGATTCAAAAGGATTATCAATTTCTGGTAATGTTTCGCTTTTAGACTCTTCAAAATTTCCAAATGGGTTGTCAACTTCTTTTTCTTCTTTTGCATTTTCATTGCCTGAGAAGTCAAAAGGATTGTCTACTACTTGGTCTTGGTGTTTTGGTTGATTAGATGAATCAGTAAAATCAAAAGGATTGTCTACAACAACTGGACTTTGACTGTTCTGTTTTTCTTCAATACATTGAAAAGGATTATCAACTTCTGGGAGATTTGACACTTTATTTGGTTCTGTATTGTTTGGTTCAAATGGACAATCGACAGATGGTTCAGTTTCATTTGTAGCAAAAGGATTATCAACTTCTTTGGTTGGTTCTTCAGCAGATTCCTCAAAATTAAAAAGATTTTTATTTTCTTTCTTTGGTTCATCCAAATCAAATGAGAATAAGTTATTTGTTGTTGACTTATTGTTTGGTTCAAACTTCATCGTAGGAACATCAACTTCTTTTAGTTCGTCATCACTAACTTCACCAAATGGATTATCAACATACTCTTCCTTTTTATTATCAAAATTAAACGTATTATCAATTTCCATTAATTCAGAACTTTGTCGTTTAATTTGATTGTTTTGTTTAGTCTCTGTTGTTTCTTCTTGATGGTCAACTTTACCCATTTCTGTTTTAGTCTCTTGTTTGGGTTCTTCATTAATTCCACCAAGAATGTCATACAAGTTGTTGTAATTTAATGGCTTCTTAACTTCCTCACTAGATTCATTTTCTTGTTTTTTGTTATTTTCTTTTTGTGGTTGGTTTGTTTCATTTGGCTGTTCGTTCGTTAAAACATTAGTTTTTGGCGTTGTTTCTTGAATGTCTTTTGTTTCTTCTAGATGACTTTCTCCAAAGTCAAATGTTTGACTAGTTTTAGAAGGTTGTTTTGGTTGGTCAAAATTAAACGCATTTGTTCTTGACTTAATGACAGAGGCAGGTTGTGATTTAGGAATAGTTGAGTTAAAGTCAAATGTTTCTGCTGTTTGAGGTTTGCTTAAAGGAGTTTGGGTTATTCCCTTAGAAGAATCATTAGTGGGGATTTGTTGAGGAATGACTTTTGGAGGGATGACCTTAATTGGTGATTGTTGTGATTGGGTTGGTACTTCATTGAATGAAGGGTTTGAGTCAAAGGTGAATGGTGATGTACTTGTTGGATTAGTCTTTGGTTGATTGTTTGTAGTAAAATCAAATGTTGTTTGACCAAAGTCAAATGCTTCTTGTTTGTTTGGTGGTTGAGATACAACTGGTTGAGAAGAAGACTGATTAAAATCAAATGTTGTTTGGAGTTGTTGAGATGGTTGTTGTTGAGGAGGATTAGTAGGTTGAATAGAAGGTTGAGGAGAAACTTGTTTTGAGTCAATAAAATCAAAAACAGAATTAGTAGTTATTGAAGATGATTGTTGTTGTTGTTCGAGTTGAATTTGTGCTAAAATATCATATTTGTTCTTTACAATAGGTTCTGATTGAATCGAAGGGGATTGTGAAGTTGGTTGAGTAGATGGTGTTGAGGTAGAAGTAGTTTGAACAAAGTCGAAAGTAGGGACAGTTTCTGATGCTGTAGAGTGTGGTTGGACATTTGAATCCAAGATATTGAAAAAATTGGTTTGGTGTGAATTAATACTAAGTCTAGTTTTAATACTTGATTTAGGTGGAGAGAGAGGGGATTTACTTTGTTTTGGAGAAGGGGATTGAAATTGTGGAGAGGTAGATGGTGTTGTTTGTTGTTGTTGAGTATATTGGGTATTTTCTGCTGACCACTGTTTTTCTACAAAACAAGCTTTAATGAACATTCTGATATTTTCAACTTCGCCTGGTTTGGGGAGTGGCAAAGAAGGTTTTCGATTAGCAAGCCATTTTTTCTTTGCTTCACTATTACCCGATTTTTTGATAGCATCGACTTCAGCCATTGAAAAAATGGCTAATGAGACTGACTTGACTCTATGACCAAATTCCATATGAATACCTGAACAAGTTGGACAAACAAAAATATTGAAGTTTGAAACAACGAAAGTTGCACCCTAAAGAAGATAAATATGAATATTATTAAAGAGGGAGAATGTTGATATAAAAATGAATAATAACAAACTCCTTTACCACAGTCGAAACAAAATTTATTATCAGCCTTAACAGCTAAATTTTCCATAATTTGTGTAGTGATTTTATTCATATTTAATAATGGATTATTCCTTTTAAAGTTTCTTTTAAGTACTTTAGATAAGAAAAATTTTAAATAAAAAATCATTTTTTCATTACAGTTGTTGTATTTTACTTTGATACAATAGAAAGTATTACACAAAATTCTAAAGTATTTGAGAAAAATTCTTTTAAACCAAAGTCAATTAATTGATCTTTTTATCATTATAAAGTTTCATAAAGACTTTGTGATAGTTCCAGTGATGGAGAACGAATACATACTTCAATTGGAACTTGATTGGTTTTATCAATCATCAGCCTTACCCGAATCATGACTACTTCACCTTTCATCATTCCAGCCAAATACAAAATATGTTTTCTAGCACCTTCAGAAACAACATCACTTCCATCAACAACTCTTAAGTCAAAATGTAATTTTATTTTTTCAACAGCTTCTTTAATTGTAGAAACATTTGGGAATTTAATAACTGTTTTCTTTTCATTTTGTACAGGAATGTTATTCCATTCTTCATTCCAATTTTCAACATGATATTCTTGAATAAAATCAGCCATTTTAATTTGAATTGAATCTAGTGGATATTCATCTTCTTGTACACTTTCTGTTAATTCTCCAGTAATAGTATTAATTTCTCTCATTGTATAAGTCATTTGTAATGGAATATTTTCTGGTTCATTTTTATCTTTTTCAAGTATAATAACAGCCATATCTTCACATTGTGGTGGTAGATTATTAATTTTAATATTTTTAACCATTTTATAATGTTTGAGTTGTCCAGTAATATTAATTGTAACATTTTCTAATTGATATTCATTGAGTGTATTTTTGATCATACATTTTAAAGCAATATGTCTTTCATATAATATCTTTGTTACAGAAACTTGATATTCAGTATCAATTCCACTAATTAATATTTCAGGACAACTTTTAATTGGTTTACCTAAATTACCAAATATTTCTTCCATTTTCTTTTGATTTTCATTTTCAATTTGTTGATTCTTTTGTTCTTCTTCTTGGTTTTGAATTTGTTCTTGAGTAACTTTACTAATTGAATCAAATGAAAACTCTGTCTCAAAGTTTCCTGTTTCAATATATTGATTTAATGCTATTTCAATATTATCAAATGGGAAATCATCAATAATACATTTCTCTAATGTTGTAGTAATTTGTGAATTTATAATATTAAGATAAAATAATGCACGACTTCTTACTTCATCATTTTCATCATTAACACATTTTTGCATTAAATCTTTTACATTATTCACATCTTCTTCATTTTTAATAAATTTATATAATGCTGAAACAGCTGTAGCACGTACATTTGGACCTTCTAATATAATTCTGTTATAAATAATTCTCATTAATTTAACGCGATTATTACATTCTGGTCCAATTTCTCCCATAATATTAATAACTCTTTGAATAATTTGTTCATATTGACAATCTTCAATAAAATCTCCTAAGATGAGTAACATTTGTTCTTTGAACTCAGTTGATACACAACAAATATTATACATCACTGATATAACTGCATTAACAAATTTAATTCCTTTAATACCTAATAACCCTCCAAGGAAATTTAATAAAAATGAATGTTTATTTGGATATTTTGTAGCTGTTTGTTCAATAGTATCTAATACTTGTATTCTAAATGTATCTGGAAGTCCTTGAATGAATTTACCAATTTTCTTTAATAATTTTTCTATATTCTTTTCTGTAGCAATTCTTAAAGCAGCTGAAGTAGCTAAAGTAACAATAGCACGATTTTTTTCTTTTATTAATGACTCAATATCACTTCTTAAAGTAACAATTACTTCTGGTGCTTTTACAGCTAATTCATTAACAATTCTAATACCTGCAAATTTTGTACATGTTGAAGATGATTGTAATAATTTTTGAAGTTTTGGTGTAAGTTTAATAAGTCCTTTAGTATGATTTACTTTAAGTAATGCACGAAGTGATTCAACAATAATCATATCAGTTGCACCTGATGTAATATTAACAATGAAATTTATCATACTTTCATCTTTTGTTGTATTTTGTTGGTATAATTTTAATGCTGTTCTTATTAATTCCATTTGGGCAAAACAAGAAGTGATTGTTGTAGCTTTAGTTGTAATAAATCTTAATAATGAATGTTGGTCATTTTGTTTTACATAGAAAAATAAACGAGTTGCATGATATTGTACTAATGCATTAGGACTATCTACACATGAATTTATTTCTGGTAAATATTTTTGAACAATATCAATAGGTAATTTAAGACAACAAATTAATGAAGCTATTTGTACTGATAAATTACTATCAACTAATGTTTGTTTGAAAAACCTCTCAATAGCTGGAGCTATTTGTGGAGTCATTAATCTACTCAAACAACGTAATGAACTACATCTAAATGAATCAATTTTATCACTAAGATCCTTTGATACACTATTAACAATTATAAATGAATTTGATGTCAAAGGAATCATATCATTAAGAACGACATATAACAATCTTCTCATTGTTAAATCTTTTGACATAAATAATTTAGTTAATGCAAAGAAAATTTCCGTAGATTCTTCATCATTAAAAATATCTCCTTTATTCATTGCAGCAACAATTCGTGTAAGAAATTTTTTACATTTTGGTACATTGATATGTGTTGCTGAACAACATTCCCTTTGTTGAAATAAAAGTACTTTTTCAATATAAAGGTCATTCTCCATAACAGAATAATCATCTACATCTCCTCGTTTACTTTTTTCTTCCATAAGATCTTATATTAATTTCTATTTTTTTTAAGTTCTTTCTTTTAACAAAATGGTTTTTGTTCTACCATTTTGAACTATTTAACAAACAAAAAATTAAATACCAAAAAATTTCTTATTTTTGTTATATATTTAATATATAGTTCCTTTAATTATTTCGCTAAAAACTTTCTTCCAATCAAATAATTGTTGAGGTGAGAAAAAGATTATATCTGAAGATTCTCCATCAACCGTAAATATTGCTTTATTGTTTCTTTCACTTTGCATTACACCAATTAATTCCATCTTAGTCACATCAAACACTTGATTTATTTTATAACTTTTATCCATTTTTGTGAGGAATATAAGATTATTATCAACTAAAACCATTGTAACCCAATATAATCCATGATACCTCAACAACACTTTCTCAAACTTCTTAACAGTACCATTATATTCATTACTTATTTTCTTTAATGAAACTGAAAGGTAATTAATATTGACATTTTCAATGATAGTTTTCATTGCTCCTTGTCCTACACTCATTTTTTCTTTACACTGTTTTATGAGTTGAATATATGGAGAATATTTGTGAGTGTATATAAGAATATCAAAATAGTCATGAAGCATTCTAATATGTTGATATACAAATGCCATCACATCAAATACTTTCATTCCTTCTTTTTCGTATGCATCAACTAATTCAGCTATTTTTATTGGATATTCAAATGTATTTCTATCTTGTGCATTGATAAAGATTGCATATGTTTTATACAAAGCATTACTTGATAATCCATCCAAGTATTTTTCTAAAAATGTATCAAACTTTGAACCAACAGGAATACTTTCTTGAATTTGACCAATAATTGCTTGAATTTTTTCAATGACATTAAAATATGTTTGTTTTTCTGTTGTACTACATATTTCACTTAATGGATCAATTAATCCACTAACAAACTGATCAATAATATTCAAATATTTTTGTTCTGATTTAAAGACATATGTTTCTGTGTTTTTCTTAATAATAGTATTTAATTGATGAGAGTAGAATTCTTCCAAATCTTGCATTTCAATCCCACTAATTTGAATAATCTCTATTCTTGGTTTAGGTAATACTTCATTACAACATTCTACTGATTCTGATACATTCAAGTACATGTCCAAATTTAGTGTTTCAACATTGTCAAATCGTAAACTACCAATATCAAAGTCTTTGTTGTATTGTTGAACAAAGAAATTTTGTTTAGTTTTTAAACCAACAATTCGGTTATTAATCAATTTCCCTTCTTGACTTGTTTCATCAATGTGTTGTAATCTGTATTTATAAACATTAATTACTCTTCCTAAAAATTCATGTGCTTCATATTGTTCTTGAGAATTAGGTTCATTTATTGAATTTATACGAATACGATATGTTTTGATTCTTGTTATAATTGTAGTACCAGGCTCTTTCACACGATCAACAACTTGGTTCTTCAAAATGTCTTCAATAATTTCATCGAGTTTAAATAGTATAAACTCTTCTAGTATCTTTTCATTTGTACTGATATTCAATAATATATTCATTATCACAATAACCACTTTTTGTTCTAATGACTCTGGGTATTTCTGAAAAATTTTTCTGATATATGACACTAATCCTATTCTTGTAAATTCCTCAATATATTTACGGTTTTCAGTCATTGACTGTATCAATAATATAATTGAAGTGATTGTTTTGATGTCTTGTTCAGCTAATAACGGTATCACCAAAGGAAGAACTCCACTTTTAATTATATCTTCTTGTACCTCTTCTGCATATGATAAATGGACAATGAATTTAATGAATGTTGTCTTCATTTCTAATGACCCACATGTAAGAATGGAATATCCATGTTTTAGTATATCATTGTCAATAGCTTCTTTGGCAATTGTAACTCTGGAAGAATCATCACATCCTTTAAACAAGGCAGTAAGTACTTCAATGAGTGACATTTTCTCATTAGAGTTAGGAGTAAATAAAGCTAAATTGATGTATTTCATACATTTAAATTGAATAAAACAATTTGAAGTTTCTTTTGTTGTTAGAATCCTTTTTAATAATTGAACACTAAGAGAGATATATTGGGTTGTAGTTAATTTACATAATGGCTCAATAAGTTCAATTAATGTCTCATTGACAGGTAATTGGTTTAATACTTCTAATGCAAGTTGGTGTGTTCCGATTAATGTGTGGTCACTTAATAACATACTAAATGACATTGCTAAATTAGTCTTTGGATTCATTAATAAATCACTGTATTCAATAGGTACAGTTTGAAGCATTTGATAGATAAAACTTAATAATAAATTGATAATCGAAGTACAATCACCAATGGGTTTAGTTTGAAGTGGATAGAGATACATTGCTGGGTTTACTTTGAGTAGTAATTGTACAAATGGTGGACGGGTTATTCCGTCATGTAAAAATTGATATCCTCTATTAATATCTGTTGGTGATCCATGAATTAATTCATTGACTTTCTTAATAAGTCCAAGTTCTTTATCTGATAATGGTTCTAACACAAATTGTTTTACATTAGATGCAATTTCAAGTGAGTCTAAATCCATTTTATTAAATGTTTTTATCAAAGTTCCATTTCAAGTTCATTCTGAGTGTAAAACAATTTTATATACTTCTAATATAACAAAAATAATTATTTGTGTTATATGTGTCTTTATTGATTTCCGTTTTGAGAATCATACCAATGTTTCTTTCTTTCAGCCTTTGATTCAAATACTCATTCCTTCTTTTTAATACAACACCTTTTTGATAAAATAAACACATAACATAACAAAATATCTCGTAATAGAATATTTATGTTTTGAAATAAAGAATAAAATACAACAAAATTAAATTATGTATAATCAAGATGTATATTTCAAATGATTTAATGTGTTTTGATTCAAAAATGACATTTTTTACTTTCTAATATAATTTATTTTTTTCATATCATTACCATTTATTATTCACAATGTCGTATTTATCGCACATATGTTTATTAATGATGAGGTGTATTAATTTAATAGAAGAGAGTTACTTTGTCATAATACTAATGCAATATATTTTTTTTATAAACAAGATCCAATTTTACAATTAATATCTAAGAAATAAACAAAACAAAATATCACTGCTTGTTTTGAATTTCTTTTCTTATTACTCTAATTGGTATTCAACAATTTTCATTGAAAATATTAATAAATTTTTTTATTTGATATGTTAAGAGAGTCATAAATTTGATGTTCTATATAGTTATACAAATAAGAATCATTCAAATAAATATTAAGGATTGTTTAAATAATGTTGGTGGTTGGTTCATTGAATTTAATTATTATTTAAGCAATTCTGTTTATGAGGAGTTTTTATTTGACAATGCTTTAACTTCATTTTATAAACGAAGTAATAAAATAAATAATAAAATATTAAAAGTATAAAATCTAAACCACTACTTGAGGCAAATAGTTTCACTTAATATGAAGTATTAAAGAATTAAATTACAAATGGTTGATTGCAGGCAATTTATTTTCATCAAATTTGATTTTAACTAATTGTAACGAACACAATTGAGTCAAAGAATAAAGGTTGGTGGATGATAAATCAAAGTAATTATCTTCTTGATCAAAAACTTTGTTCATTGAAAGTGTCTTTAGAGTTGTATTGAATTTAATAGAACCAATAATACTTTTCTTTATTTTAATGGATTGGACTGAAGGTTCAAGAATAATATTTTCAAACTCTCCTTGAAGTTGAATAAACTCAGAGCTTATTGATAATGTCTCAGTAAATTCCCCATTTCCAATAAAAGAATTGATATGAGGTATAAAAACATTATTTCCATTGTTTAATATACAAGTTAGTTGAGATAAGTCTTTAACAAGATCAAATTTAATAGTATTATCTGTTTCAATATATTTTAAAGACGGAGGAAGATATGAATTAAAAGAAGAATTTATCATAACCATTTTTGTCAAATAATTTAGTCGTTTAGGAAATTGGAATAAAGAAGAACAATTAGTATCAATAGAAAGAAGAGATTCAAGTTGTGGATTTCCAAGTCTTTGTTCAAAATTCATTGAAGAAGCAAAAACATTATTAACTTCTAAATATTTTAAATAAATAGAAAGTTCAACACAATCAAAAGAAGAGTGTGACAATTTTATAGAACGAATACTTTTAGGACATTGAAGAGAACCAACACAATCTTCAAGGTCAAGAGAAATTAAATTAGTGAATGTTTGGATAGAAGGTATTTCTGGATGAATTAAAGATAAGTGAACTAATGAAATATCATCAATTAAAAGTTTTGGATGTTTCACAAGAAAACGTTCAGAATTTTCTTGAAGAACATCTATTGTTAAATGAGTTGTATTATTTAATTTAAGTATAGATCCATTTATTATTTTATATTGAATGATATGGAGTTGCTTTAAATCAATTGGTGAATGAGAAAATAAGAATTGCCAACTATCTCTTATTATTAAATTAAATAACAAATCATAATCTTTTATTTTAAGACAATCTTCTGAATATTTTAATTGCATATTAAAAGGAAGGTAGTTATGAATAAGTTGATCAATATTATTTGCTTTCTTTAAATTCCAATTGTTTGAAGAAAGAACTAAATCTTCATTATGATATATTCCATCAACAGTTAATGAACATCTTTTTCCTAATGTTTTTCTTTGAGAAAGATATACTTTAACATTAGGATTAATTACAATTTCATTATCTAGTTTATCTAATATAAGAATACCTTTACTTAGTGATTCTATCATACATTTTATTCTTTTAATATTTAGACCTTCTACTGTTAAATAAGTTACTTGATGTATATTAATTGAAGGTATAACTTCGTTACTTGCATCACATCGTATTATTTTTAAGCATTGAAGCCATTGACATTTTTCTAATTGCTTAGCGATTTTACTAAGAAAAATACCGTCAATAACAAGTTTTCTTAATTCAAGAGGGAGTTGTTGTTGTTGAGAATAACTTAAAATTTCTAAGTTACATTTTGGTAATTGATGAATAAAACAATAAAAAATTCTTTTAGAAACAAAACGTATAGAGTCAGGTGCGTATTGAATAATTTTATAATAACAAAGAAGAGGAAGTTGTTTTAAATTCATAAATTATGAACAGGAAATACTTTTCAGATTTTTCTATTTTTTTTAATTTTTACTCATTTGAAATTTTACATTAAATGAATAAACTGATCTTTCTTTTACTAATAATTCCATTATGTTCAAACGAAATAATCCTATTATTCTTACTCTTTCACCTTCTCTTAATAGACTTTCATTAAGAAAAAAAACTTCAGTTTGATTTAGTTTCATCTAAAAAAAATTAATGTTCAACTCACTTTTTAGCAAACACGCTCTCGTTATTCTTGGAGCTCTCGTTCTGCTACTTCACTCTATTCACCTACACAAAGTATTAGTAAAGAGAGTGGAAGTATTAGTAATAAATTTATTTCAATTGGATTAAATGAAATTGTATCAACTTCATTTACTACAATTGTAACAGAATCAAAACAATTATTTCAATTATTAGATTCAGTTACAAATTCTCCTCAATTCATTTCAAAATATACAGAAGTACTACCTTTAAATTTACGTGAAATATTATTAAAACAAATGTCAACGGTTTTAACAGCACTTTCAAAACCTACTCCATTACCTTTAATTTGTTCTTTTCTTATTGATGGAAAATTATGTTTTCATACATACCCTATCGTTCTTTCTGCTTTATGTGTAGAATCATTTTCTGACCTTCCAGCAAGAGTACTTCCAGAATCAATTAAACATGCAAGTATTATACTAAAAGAATTTTCATTATTAATAGAATTATTGGATAAAGACATTGAACAATTTATGACTGTTATGGGAAGTATTTTAACTTATGAAAAAGTCGATTTAAGAATGTCTCATAAAAGAAGTGAATTGGAAAATAGTTTAATGCATGACCAATGGGTATTTAATACTATTGCTAAAGGGGATATTCAATTACAAGAAATGAGAAAATATTCTAAAGAATTATATTGTGTATCTAATAGTTTAGGAACAATTCATACAGATTTAAATGAAAGTAAAGGAATTATTATACGACATGGAAGTTTACTATTAAAACAAATAGATAAATTTAATGAAAAATTAATGAGTAAAGCAGTATTAATTCTTTATCCAACAGGATTACAAATATATATAATACCATTACATGATTGTATTATTGAGTCAATATGGATCTCTATTGACAATTTGATTATTGGAAATATAACAGGAGAAGATGGAGAATTATGGGTAAGTGGGTGGTGTGTATTAACGTTTCAAAATAAAGCTACCAATAAATCATATTGTGTTTGTTCTAATAACTTATTAACGACATTACTATGGCATGATGATATGTTAAAATGTATTAAAATGAATACAAGTAATAATGAAATACCTGTTAACATACAATTAAGTGATTGTTTACCAACAACAATCTTTGGAGTAACAAAAGAATTAATTTTTAGAGGATGTAGTTCAGTAAAGAATTATTTTAAATTAAAAACAAAAGGAACATTAAAAAAAATAGTACAAAATAATCCTAATATTGATTTAGCAACAGTACCAATAGATGAAATTACTGAATTTTTTATTAATTATTTTAAAAATATTAAACCTAAATTATTAAATAAAAATGATATTGAACTCTTTAATAGAATAGATTTCACTCAAAATGAATTTGAATTAACAGGTCTTAATGACTTTTTTGAATCTAAAGATGAAGTATCAAGAAGTGTATTATTATCTTTTTTATTTTTAATAACATGTTTTATTAATAATGGAAATGATGAAAATTTTACTGATGAAGATGGGATGAAAATCTTACAAATTGTTTGTGACTCATCTTTTAAAAAGAAATGCTTTGATTCTCAAAGAATAAAATTTCTTTTTGATTGTATTGGTGATATTATTTCTTATTATTCATTAAATAATACTCCAATGACATTAATTAAAATTAGTCTTATGAAAGAACCAATTAGAAAGTTATATCTTCTTCCCTCACAAAAAGTTGTTGTTTTATTTCAAAGGAGTATGTTTATGAAAAATGGAAATAAATTAAATACTGTTACTTTACCTCATGATTATTTTTCTTCATGTTGTAGTGGGGATTATGTTTTAATATTAAATAAAAATAATTTAACAAGGATTAATGGAATGGAGATAAAAACAATAGAAGTAAAAGATAGTATTACTATGACTGGATTTAAAGGAGTTTTATTAATTGTATTTAAAACAAAAATCGAATTTATTGATATTGCTTCATTTACTATTATTTCTACTGTAAATATAAGTGGAGTAGATACTGTTAAAACAACAAAAACAAAATTCGGATTTGTTGTTATTATTAATAATAAACATATTTGTTTTTATGATACAAAAGGGTCTTTATTAAAAGAAAGAATTGTTGAATATATGAATAAAGAAATAACATTTATTGTTGCTAAAGATGAACTTATTTTTATTGGATTTAATGATGGTAGTATTTCTGTTCTTAATGAAACTAATGGAAATGAACTTGAAATTATTGTTTCTTTTGAAGGAACAATTAAAGACATTGTTGTTGGAATACAACATGTTTATGCCTTAACATCAAATAATACTATTCTTGTTATTGATAAATTTAATTATCAAATATTATCTATTTTCACTCCTCTTTCAATGGCAACTTCATTATTAGTTTGTGAAGATCAAACATTACTTATTGGAACAACTAATTCCATTCTTCAATATCATTTAAATTCACCATCTTCATGTACATCAATTAAATTAACACCTTTCTTTGTTGATATTCCAGAAAGTATGTCAACATTGAACCATTCATTAATACCTAATATTTTTCATATTCAAGCAAATTGTTTGATATGTCATAAACCATTGACTCCTCATGATCTCATTTGTCGTTGTTTGTTTTTATTTTAATTATATGATTTCTATTATTAACTCTGTAGATTGCCAAATAACTATTCATGGCAGTTGTTTATCGTCTTTATCAAAAGATTGTAAAAAACGATAAACATTTTCTTTTTTTTCATATTATTTCTTATTAATAAAAGAATTATTATTAATATTATTTTTATTTTTAGATTATAAAACTTTTCTTGAAAATTTCAAGTTTCACTAAACCAAAAACTAACTCAAAATAACTAAATGGAACACGCAGAAAGTTGTTCTCCTCCGCTTCGATCTAGTAGTCATCATTCTCATGTGTCATCACGGAATTCTTCTTCAATTAAAGAATCATCATCTTTTCCTACACGTAGATTAACATTAGACACTTCTCAAATTAACACATTATCATCATCTGAGTATTCTCCAAGACAATCATTATTACAAATACTTAATGAAAAAGGAATTGTTTCTGTACCTCAAATTGAAACAACATTACCTATTGTAAGGAAATATATTCAACAAACAACAGAAAAATTATTATCAGAAATAGAATTATTTATTAAACTAGTTAATCAAATTATTGCTCTTTATGCAACACTTCAAAAAGATGAAGGTACTTTAAAGACAATGAATGAAGAAACACTTATGAGTATTAATAAAATTTCAATTCAAGGGTTGAGTGTTGATTCTTCTTATAATCAAACAGAATTTAAAAATGTTTTAGATAATATCACAGGATTATATGAAGTTATTAATTCTTGTTACCAATTAATACAAAATAATATAAATAATTTGTTTTGCCCTATTGTTGTTTATTTAAATACAAATGGAGTAGACAAATTACTTAAATTTATTCAAGAGATATTAAATATTGAATTATTAATTAAAAAAATGAATAAAAATTCATTGATTTGTAAAAAAATATGTGAAGAGAATGAAAATAATTCATTAGAAGATGTGTTTATTAAAATTATATCAATTATAAATGTTTATATTCCTTTATTTGAATCTGATCGTCAAGATATTCAAAGAAAAATTGAAGTACAAGAAATTTTAATTCAGTTTAAAGGAACTAGTTCATCTCAAAGTATTACAAATGGTTCTATAAGTTTAAGTGATTTATTGTGGGCTAAGTCTAATTTAAAAACTTCAATAGTATTTAGTTCACAATTATTACGGAGTATTGAATGTTTAGAGTCATTTTTAATTCATCATGATATTCTTAATATATTTAAAGCTGCTTGTCAATATAATCCTTCAGTAGAAATTTGGAATCCTTTATTTGAACAATTAACTGAAGATTCTATTCTTCATGCTGGAATAGCATTTCTAAAATTACAAACTAATGATGGCATTTGTAGATACCAAAAATGTTATTTATTTTATACAACAATAGGCTTATTTTTATTATTTGCTTATACTGGAAATATTTTAATTCCTTGTGACTTTATTAGTTCTAAAAGATTAATAAATGCTGATATAGAAATTCTTCTACCACAAGATAATGCATTTGCAGCAGACCTTCATATTATAACAAAAGATTCAAATTACCGTAAAGAATTTTATTTTGCTATTCAACATGATAGTGAAGTTATTGAATGGAGTTCTTTATTAAAAGAAACACTTTCATTACTTGATACAACTACTCTATCTAATTTTGAATTTAGTAATTGTATTGCAACTAAAATAACAAATAGAAAGTTAGTTACAAAGAAAAATAAATATGTAGGTTCTTCAATTGAAGAATTAGTTCAATTACAACAATTAAATTCATGTCTTGATACTGTTCCAGATGTATTAAATAAATGTATTAATGAAATTATTAATAAAGGATTAACTGAAGATGGACTATTTAGAAAACCACCAGACCAATACCAATTAGAAGAATTAATGAAAAAATTAAATGACAATGATTTTAGAAGTAAAATAAAATTAAAGGAATATCCGATAGGAACAATTTGTGGATTATTAAAAAGTATATTAATGGAAATGAATCCAAGATTTATTAATGGAGAATCATATAAATTATTTGTTGACATATCTAGAAAGAAAGATCGTGAAGAAATGAGAAAACAAATTATATTATTTATTGATTCTTTAAATATTGAACATAGAAATACACTTGGAAGATATTTATTTTTGATGAATATTATTGCTATTAATAAAAGATTAAATAGAATGGGTGAGTCTAATTTATCTACAGCTATATGTCAATGTTTTTTACCACAAAAAGATAATGTTGATTTAGCTTCTGTAGAAAATGACTCATTTGAATGTCTAATTAATAACTATGACTTGTTTCTTCCAAAAAAAATTGATAATCCAATTCAAATAGGTTCATTGACTGGTATTATTAAAAAACAAATAACTATGGAAGGTGTTGGTTCTTTATTATTTATACCACAAATTAATGAAATGTGGTCAATAGACAAAATTGGAAATGTTGTACAAATTAATACAAATACATTACAATCCAATATTAGTAAAATTAATATATCACTTCCTGATATTAAGCATATAGGAACATATAAAAATTATATTTATCTTGGAACAACTTCTACTGTTCATATGATAGATATTGAAACTAAACAAATTGTTAAAAATTTAGAAACTAAAAGATGTAGTTTTATTACTATTTCAAATGAAATATTATTTATTGGAGAACAAAACGGTATTATAGAAGTTTATAACCCTCTTACATTAGATAAGATTAATGAAATAACAATAAAAATAGATAATAATTCTTTAATAACACCTATTACCTTAATTGCATTATCTCATGGTAATATTTATGCTTCACTTCAAGGTAAAAATGAAATTTATGTTATTTCTTATTCAACAGGAAAATTATTAAAAACATTTTCTACATTTCATCATAATTCTATTGTTTGTCTTACTATTTGTGAAGAAAATCAAACACTATGGACTGGTGATTATAATGGAATGGTTTGTGTATTAGATTTAGAAACTGGAATATTATTACAAAAATATGACCATCCTTTAACGTATGGAAGTGTTATGTCAATTATGGTAATTCCAAAATATATAATTATTTCATTCATTTCAAGTCAAATATTAATTTTTAATAATGAAAATAATACTTTAGTTACTTCTCTTTCAACAAAGTATTTAATTACTTCAAAAGTTGCTTATATAGTTCAAAGAAATTACAATGGAAAGTTGATGTGGAATATTTGGATGGAAAAAGATGATAATGGAGATATTGCAATAATGGATATTACTTATCCTGTAGAAGACATTCCTACAGACGAACGATTAGTATCATCTTTTTCCTATCTTGAGAATGAGTATATTGAAAAAACACCTTTAGGTCATTGTTTTCTTTCAATAAATTGCGAAGCAAAATGCTGTGTTTGTAGTGGTGTAATTAAAAATACTGAAGAATCATTTAAATGTTCTAATTGTAACAAATATATTCACCAACGTTGTTTAGAGAAATTCTCTAACACTTTTTGTTCAATTCATTCACAACTTCAACCAGAAATTATCAACAAATCTAAATAACATTTATGTTTTATTAATTTTCTAACATTTTTTTTTGTTATTTAATAAATTTTACTCTAATGAAAAAATTGATTTATTTTGTATTGAATTTATTCACTTTTATTTAATTTTTTTCTCACAACTAAATTCTATTTATTAATTTGTTTCAAATATTTTATCATAGAAAAATTAACAAAATAGATGACATTCAATTATCAAAAATAACTCCTGTTTATTAACATATTTATATTTAGAATTTTAATTATTTATTTTAATCTATATTTCTTTTTGGAATTTCTCCAATTATTTCAATTAATTAAATACTTATTTGTTAATCTTTTGATTTGTTAAAATATACTTTACTAAAGTTATAGTAATAGTAAAAAAACCAAAATTAACAGAAAGAAGATTTGAATTATTGTTTATTTTAGAAACTAATAAGTTACTTCTTTTGTTATATTAATCATTTAAAAATTAATAATCATTATTTTCACTCTTGTTATATTCTTACTAAATTAATAGATTTTGTTTTTAATTATTATTAATTTACCTATGAATTATTTTGATTAATAAAAATTTCCTGATGATAAACCAAAAAAAGAATATCTAACAACCCAATAATATAAACTACTTAAATAAAGTTTATATAATATGAATATCCTTTTGTGTTAATAAGTTTATTAATTTTTAAACCATTAATGGATTAGATTTTACAATTGTTCCATTTCTTATTAATAAATAATATTCTTTATTAATTAACAAATACCATCATATTAACTCAATAGAAGAAAATATTGTTAATAAGAGATAGAAAGAAATACATAATAATAGATATTAATATTATTTATAAAAAAAAAGATTATTTCTTAATAGATGAATAATACCAAAGAAGTTTTATTAATATTAAACCCTGCTGAAAAGAATATTCCTTTTCAATAGAACTATCAAATTTACTTATAATGCTTCTTATATTCCTCTGTTTCATTCTTTCAAACGCTTTAAAATGCTCTCAATTGAAAATGAATAAGGTTTATTCTGTTGAAGATGCATTTGAATGCATTAACTCAGCAAAAACAAACCCATTATTTAATACAAAAGTTGTAGAAGAAATAAAGAAAGAATTAGAAGGTTATGTTTATAAGGATATTCTTAAAAACCCACCACAACCATCTTTTGATGCCAATTATCATAAATCACTTGATCTTGATCAAGAATTAGCTTCTATTGATGTCAATTCAACAGAAAGCTATAATTTTTTCAGAAGTTTAACATCAGTAGTGTATAATGCACATGATCTTCATTTTTCATTAACTGCACAATCAGATTATGATGGGAATAATTTCTTAGTTGACTCATTCTATTTTATTCTTCCATTTGACATTGTTATTTTAAATGATAAAAGTGTCAAATTTGTATTGAAATCTACTAGTTATAATGTCACTATTCCTGATGCTGTTAAAAATAATCAAGACACTCCTGTAAGTAAAATTAATGGAAAGAGTGTTCTTGAATTTATTAGAGTCTTTGGTGAAGAACATGGAAGAATGAAATCTCTACATGGTAATTTTGTTAGAGCTCTCAATAGTATTACATTTAGTTCATTAAATTCTATGACATTATCAAAAGAAGAATTAAGTACTGTATTATCTATTGAATGGAGTAATGGAGAAACGTGTGATGTATCATATCAAATGTTATATATTCCTTTCTATTCCTTAAGCAAAAAAGCACAGTCAATTGTTAATAGAAAATTAAATGGAAATGATTATAGTCCTCTTACACTTGAAGATATTGAAGAAAGACATATTAAAAGAGAAGAAAAAACACCTTATGATCTTCAGTCACGAGATGGAATGTACTCATGTAAGGTAGATCATGATCAAAAGATGAATATTTTCGTTTTGAAGTCATTTTCTTTTAGTGATGAAGATCGTGAAAATTCGACAAAAACACTTGCAGAATGTATTCATTTGTTTGATGAGAACGAGTTTCCAATCAGTGTGATTTTAGTAAAGAATGGAGGAGGATATGTTGATTTAGGAATGGACCTTGCAAAAATTCTTTCACCAACTATAAGTTCTACTATCATTAGTAGTTTCCGAATTAGTGAACCATCTAAACAAGTTTATGAAGCTGAATATTATGAATATATGAATGATACAACTACTTGTAAACCAAGATATGATCCTGTAACTAACAAATATAATGGTGATTGGTATTCTCATCCAGATACTGTTTATTATGGTGATGTCAAACACGTAAAGACTCAAGCCTCATATATGCCAGCTTCAGTTATGGTAGATGCTTCTTTTATTCACCACCCAAGACAACCAACTGATATTGTTGTTTTCACTGATGGTTATTGTTATTCTACTTGTTCTATGTTTACCAAAACATTGAAAGAACAAGGAGGTGCTATCATAGTAGGATTTTCTGGTGATCCTGAAGGAGATTTAGATCACTTTGATGTTGGTCAATCACCATCTTCTGTTGTTGAAGGTACTGAATTAAATACAACTGAAGCACTTGAATTAAGAACAATGGGAATCCGATTGAGATTTAGTTATTGTGAAACTTATAAATTAAATTATCAATTTAATGAAACCATTCCAAGAGAATTTATTGTTGATCCAGTTGATGAAAGAGTTAATATTTATCAATTTAATGATAACAAATTAAATGAATTTATTCAAGAAGCGCAAAAAATTATTAATAAATATAAAGAAGAATGTAATAGTAAGAATGATAGATTAGTATTGCTTTCTCAAGAATGTGATAATAAATCTACTATTGAACATGGTCATGGTGGATTTAAGTGTGGAAATGATAATAAGTGGACTAAAGAATGTGTTATTAGTTATTGTGATGAAGGTTATAAATTTGATAGAATCAATCAAAAGTGCATTATTGATGTTTGTTATACACCAGATAATAGTCAATCATCTACCAGTGACTCAAACGATAAAATCAAAGATGATGATATAATTTTCATTGTTGTTGGTTCAATTATTGCGATCTGTGTTATTGTTACATTGATAGTTTTAGTGATAGGATTGGTAGTGTTCTGTGTTAAAAAGAAACACAATAAATCATCATATAACACATTACCAGACACTAACTAAATGAAATCGTTAAATTACATTATGGTTTTTATTTCTTTTTAAGCCTTCAAAAAAAAAAATTAAATTAAAAAAACTCAAACCTCAAAAGAACTAATAAAAGTATTTCTAATGGATTACAACAGAATAATGGGTATGCCTTTTGGATTCACTCCGTCAGGTTCCGATAGAAAGAATATGAAAGGACTTCATAATTCAAGAAATGGTTTAGAAATTCATGGACAGAGACAAGAAGAAATAAAATTTGATACAAGTGGTTTTGCAGAAACAAATGGAGATGATTTTACACCAGACATTGAAATTTAAATTCACATTTTTATTTACTTTTTATTCATTTAATTTTAGTATTTTTTTTCTATAATGAAACTATAAATTTTTATTAACATTCTTACATGAATAATACCATTGGAAGTCAATTAAAAATAATAGAAATAATTCATTTATTACAATGGCCTTATTGGAGTTGTATAAAATGTCTTGAAATGAAAAATAAAATTGAAAAAAAGCATTTATTACAATTTATAAAAGAACGAGATAAAATGATACGTTTGTATATTAATACTACTGATTATGAATTGTTAATAACATTTTTAATGTTATAGTTTTTTTATTCTTAGAAAAAAAGACTGATGAAATTAATGTTAATGAAACATGTCAATCAATTATAAAAGACTTTCTCATTGAATTAATTAAAAAAGACATTATCAAAGAAGAAGAGTATTTTCATTTTATGAATTTTTTATCGTATTATGAACTAGCAGTATTAAGGTTATGTAATTTTGATATATTTACAAGGGAAGTTGATGATGACTATCAAGAAATTATTGATTGGTTAAAAGAGAATAAAATTACTATCATAGGTTCTAAAGATTCACACAAAAATATTCAGAAAGACTACATTGAAACAAATGAACTTCAAAATATATTATCTTCATTGTTTCTTTTTGACTTAAGTCAATACTCTATGAAAACAATTATTTTAACTACTGTTTATTATCTTATTCAATACTGTGATACACAACAACTAGTCAAAAAAAGAATAGATGAAAATATTAAACAACATAAATATCGTTGGGATGACATTGAGCAAATCCTTCAATTCATTAAACGTGGAAAGGAGTTAATGAAAAAGAAAAATGAAATTATTACACAATACGTCTCTTCTTTTAAGACAATTATTAAATATGTTGTTTTCACTGTTTCAGATGAAAAATACCTTGATGAGTTACTTATTCATTATCCTCATCAACAATTTGATATTTTAGAGTTTACAATTTACCAAATAGAGAAAAATGATAAGATTTATCAATTTTGGAAAATAAAAGAACCTTACCAAATGATTGATTGCTCTTTGATTTTAAAAACTGATGTTTATAGTATTATATTCTTAACAAAAAATAACAATAAAATTTTAAAAGAGTACTGTTATTTATGTAATGGATTTAATTATGTCCATTCAGTCTTTATATTATCTGCTTCTTCCCTCTCCCAAGAACTTAAAGATGAACTTCAATCAGCAATTTTAAATAACTTCCCTACAAATAATTCATTTTTGAATTTTACTTTACAAAAAGACCTCCATATATATTTCAAAGAGATTAATTATTCAGTATCCACATCATTAATTAATACCGTTTGCATTTAAGTTAGTATTAATTTTTCTTTTATTTTTTCTTTGAATCTACACTCTTTATGAGAAAATTAATTCTAAATATTTTAAAAAAAGAAGTTATAAATAATATTACTACTTAATAAAACACTCACTCAATAGTCTCACTTATTATGTAAATGGTAAAGCTAATAATTTAATAAACGATGTGGTAGTATGAAGTAACTATAAATAAAGAAAAGATAAAGAAAAAGATGGAGAAATATAAAAAAGAAACTTAACAATAAGAAATTACAATATATAGATAATAGTATTTAAGAAGTTGAAATAAACAAAATAAAATTTGAAAAAGTTAATAATAAAATGAATTAATCAAATGTTTATAATATAAGAATCTTATTGTATCTGAGGCATTATGAAATTAAATAGTAACAATATTAAAAAGTTAAAATATAAATGAATTTATACAATTTAAAATATGAAATATTTAAAACATAATAATTCAAATACAGTAATTACATCTTCTTTTTTTTTTACTTTTAAAGATGTGTCACTATTCAATTTCAATATGTTTTGATAATAGCTCACATATCTAATTAATTATTCTAAATTCAAATCAGTAACTGTTAATAATTCATAAAAATCCAGTTAATAGGTTTTTGATTTCCTAACACTTGGAATATTTCTAATTACTCTATTAAATAAATAGTAATACAAAATGAAACAATTGTGGGTTACACTACAAGTTGATTAACTTAAATTTTATTTAAAATAAATATAATTAAATATACTATTATTAAAAAATGAAGACAAGTTAATAAACAAAGTTTTTTTTTAAATAATGAACAAACTACTACTAATAAGGATTAAAAAAAAGTAGACTACAACTTTTGTACTAAATTTAATTCCTTCATAAAAGAAAAAAAAAACTTGAGCCAAAAAGAATAATCTTATTCAATCTTATTCTATTGCGATTGTATTGGAAACAATAATTTAGAATTAATAAATAGAATATGCCAATTAATTAATCAAAACAAAGATAGAACAAATGATGTCTATTGAAAAAAAAAGAATTAAAATACAAACACTTTTCATAAATAAAAGAAAAAGGCTAACTTTAACATTAAATAAAAATATAATAATACAATTTCATGTTATTTCCGTTAATTTTAGAATCTTTTTTTTTATAATACAACTATCCAACTAATTTAACTTTAACTATAAGAAGATTATAATATATTAGAATTAATAATTTATTCAATTTTTTAAGTTGGAAATTCTTTGTTGACTATTTATAAGTAAACTTCCTGATTTATGTCTCTTTGGATTTCTTAAAACAAAGAACTATTTAAAAAAATAGAGTCGAAGGGTAAAAGTATTGGAATTTGTTAACCCAAAAAAAGAAGAACAACGACATATTAGTCCTATCTTTTGCAATTGTTAGATTGGTAATAACTGTGAAATTAAGTATATAAGGAAATAAAATAAGCCAAAATGTTGAAAAGGAATCAATACTATTATTTATAAAAAATTATCCTTTATAAAAAGAAAAAAATGGAACTTCTTTTGTAGTAAATAACACTTCATGAGCATTGCTCATCTCGATTCTTCTGATACAAACTCTTTTTCTGTACCAATTGAAATACCTAAAGCCAAACATCAAATTTCTATTGATTCAACATCCTCATCATATGCCGAAGATGATATGATAATAATTGATGATTATATACAAAATTCAAATAATTATCCTCAACGTCCAACAAACCCTTTACCATTTGAAAAAGAGTCAACTTTACCAGAAGAAGATACTTTTAACTTACCTACTGGAACTCCAATTTCTGAAACCAATAATCTTTATTCGCTGTAAATATCATTTTATTTGTCAAAAATAATTTTATTTAAACTGTAATTGCCAAAAAAAAAACAAGGGTTTTGTTAATCAATTGAAATAAGTTTTTTTATTGAATTGTTGTATTTAAAAAAAAAATCCAATTAATTGATGTTATAAGAAAGCAGAATTAAGGAATGCAACAAATGCATCTCCACCATTATTATCTAAAGTAATCAAGTTTTGCTGAATTAATTTTAAAAATGAACGACGTACTCTATTAATTTCAGCAACTGAAACTTTTCTTGGAAGAACAACTCGAGTATTACTTTGTGGTACAACAATAGGATCACCTCCAACGAACGTTGGTGAATTAACAACTTTCATTACTACCCCAATAATATCTTGAGTTACAGCATCAATTTGAGTTACAGTAGTACTACTTTCAACAGTGTCTTGTTTTACACTAAAATTAATTCTTCCAGTAAATTTATTAAAAAGAATTTCACAAATTTGTTTACAAGGTAGTTCTTCTCCAGGTTGAATATTAAATAATGGTTGATCCCATTTATGAGACGGTAATGGTACTTCATATCTTTCTATTAATTCTACAACCATTTCATCTGAATATTTCTCTTCTCTTTGAGCATTCCACTCAATACACTTTTCTTTTGGAGCAGTAACAGAAATAGTAACACTTGTTGATGCGATTGACTTACAATGACATTTTAATTCATATCTGAATGATTTATTGTAATTTAATGAATCTAATATTACGATAGTCTCTCTATTTAAAAAACGTAATACTTGTCCTTTTAAAGCAGTTCTCATTCTATCCTCAGTTTGCATTGCTAAAAAGTGTTAATACCATTTCTATTTCCTAATATAAACAAACTTTTATATGCTTCTTGTCGTAAAATTCCAAGACTTTCTTCATTAATTAACTCAACTGGAGTTTCTGGATAATTTTCATTAATGTATTTAACAAGTTGGTTTGCAAAAGTAGTTTTACCACTACAAGGATATCCACTTATTAACACAAATGGCATGGAATTAATTATATTTTAAAGTTCAGTTAGTAGGTTTAAACAAAAAGAAAAATACAAAAAAAGTAGTATATTAACTCATTATCCCTCAATTTTGATTTTTTTTGTCACAGAAATGAAGAACCGATTATTTAAATCAAAAACTCTTTTATAGAATCTGATTATAATTATATATACATTAAAAGATATCGAATATTCATTATTCTTTCAAACCATTAAAGTAATAAAAGAGAAGTTAAATGAATATTCATTTATTCTTAGCATCTCTGAATGTCTCGCTACAATAATATAGTGAGAAAGGTATATGCTTAAATTTACTGATTAATAAGTTGACTTAGATGAGTTTAAATATTTTAGGTTAACTAAACTATATTTATTTAATTTCAAAATTATTAATTTAATTATTAGAATTATACTATAAATGACTTATATTTCTTTTATTTTCTTAATCATTCATTTGTTGTTATTAAAAACATTTTTTTTTGATTATTATAAGTTTCAGACTAACTAGATCCTTTACAAGTACTGTTTATTTTGAGAATTTATTTTAAAGAATATGGAATTGTAATAATAATTTAATAAAATGTTGTTATATTATACAAATATAATTAGTTTAAATAAATGTATTTACAAATTAAATTGTAGTATAGTACTTATCAAAAATTGAGTAGTGCCTTCTATTTTTAGTTCACAGATACTATGGAATTAAATGCTTTGTTTATATAGATATTTTTAAGTTGTAAAAGAAAATTAGTCTTTCAAAATATTATCTTATGAATCTTGTATTAAATTATAATGTGATTCATTAAGAAATATACTTTGTTTTAGCTAATTAAAGTCTATTTATTTTTAGATAGATAATACACAACTTGATAGAGTTAATGAAAAAGACAAAGACATGGAATTTTTTGCTTATTTCTATTTTATTATTGTTCTTTTAAATAGATCCATTTATAATTTATGATGCATACTAATCACAACACTTTGTACAATTTTTTAGAGTGCTTATTAAATAAAAAGAAGAAGAAAGGAAGGGAGTTAATAAATGAACAAAAATAGAATTTATTTATTTTTTTAACTCTTCTTTGTTATATTGGTGATTCTTTTTCTTTTCATTTCTTATCATCAGTTAAACAAAAACAAACGCAAAAAAAAATAGAGAATATAAGAGAAATGAGAACAAAATAAAGTGTAAATTACTTTAAGGTAACTAAGTCAGAAGCAAATTCTAAAAAGATTTTACATTGAACTGATGTTGTACTGATTATTAATTTTGATTCTTTATTAAATTGACTGCATTTCATAAATAATCCATCTGGCGTTTTCGTAATAGTTATAAGAGAGTAATGGTACGGATTTAATTTTCCCTGAGAATAAACAATAAAACGTTTCTCAGCAAGAACCCACGTTACAGGTCCATTTGAAATATAAGAAGTGATTATATTTCCTAGATTATCTTCTCTCATTTTTCTTGATAAGAATGCTTCATTTCTATCATATGGCTTTAACGAATATTTTGGATTAATTGTTCTGATGTCCCTAATTCGTTCTATTTGCATTTTACCAGTACTTGCCCTAACACCATCAGCTGTCTTTGTAACAAGATCAATTGTACCTACAATTGGTTTAGTAACAAGTCCAACAAATCCTTTGCCAACTCCACTAATAAAACCAGTAATTCCTCCATCAATGGCTCCTTTAATTGGTTGATATACCACTCCTGTAATTCCTTGGAAAACTCCACTTGAGAAAGCAACAAATCCTTTACGAATTCCATCTCCAGTACTTTTAGCCCGTTTATCAGAATTACGTTTTTCAATATAAGCTTTATCAAAACTAAATGATGCAACAAATGTCGATACAGAACCAGTTATACCAGAGATTGATGATGCTGCTCCATGAGTTGCGTTTTGAGCTAACGAAGAAACACCATTTATCATTCCTTTTCCAAATGAACTCACTGAAATAGTTAATCCTTGTGCAGGTTCATAAAAGAAATCATGACACCCAGTAGAAATATCATTCAATAACCCTCTTGGATTACCTAAGAATGAAGAATATGCAACAAGAAGAATTGCTTGATTAATAATTTGTTTATAATAGTGTTCAACAAATATTTGTTTTAATGAAGATAAATCACCGTTAACATTCTTTGCAACGGT